TGGAAAAACGGGAACCCTAGTAAATCACTGGTAGAATGTCACGTGGTGCTTCTACTCTGGAAGATAGCTTGGCAGTTCCTCAAAAAGTTAAAAATAGAATTCTCTCATGACTCAGCAATTCTACTCTTAGTTCCATCCAAGAGAAATGAAAACGCATGTTCACAGAGAAACGTGTGCATGAATGTGTAAGGCAACATCATCAAAGGCAGAAAACACGGCATGTCCATCAATGGATAAAAGAGTAAACAAATGGGGTATATACTGCAGGGGTTCACAGATGCTATGCTGGCATATTTACAGTGTAAGCTAACAGTACTTGAAAAACTGAGGACACAAAAAGAGTTATTTTATTGTTTCCTAATAGCAAAAGATGAACTTCCTTTGTGAAAGATGCCCTCCTTACACTAGAAGGATGAAACATCCTTATCCTCAAACATGAGAAATAGACTCTGAAGTCTGTGCCGACCATGTTAAAGTAACTCATCTTTTAAGCCTGCCCACATAATTTAGTTGCACCTTAACAATTTACTCCTTTTCCCATCCAGTTTCTTTGGGCTTTTGTTTCTCTGTGAGAGCACCTGTCACATAAAACTTGTAGTAAATGAATTTGGAAGCTTTTCTCTTGTTAGTCTATCTTATGTCAATCTAATTCTCAAACCAGTCAGGATCCTAAAAGGATGGAGGTGAGGTGTCTCCACCCTTGGAATACAGATGGTCAAATATGATTCATCCACAAAAAGGAAGAGGTGATACCTACCACAGCTTCAATAAATTTCAACAATATGATACTAAGGGAAAAAAGCCAGGCTCAAAAGGTCACATATTGGGTGACCTTTTACGATATATTCAGGCTAGGCAAATCTGGAGATGGAAAGTAGATTAGACAAAGAAGACCAGAGAAGGAGGAGGAGTTACGAGTGATTACCTAATAAGTATGGAGTGTTTTATGGGGTCAAGGAAAAGCTTTGAAACTAGGAAGCACAACACTGCAAATTCCCTAAGTACCACTAAATCATACACCGTAAAACAGTTAATTATATGCTATAGGACTTCCAATTTCAATAATAAAAAAGATGTTTTAATCACTCAGAAACTTTTTTCATCAAATTTTCCGGAGCATGTCTTGTGTTTTCTATTTGAGTTTCAGTTCCATATTCCTTCCAGCCATTGATCTACATTTTAATCATCTTTTATGCCTTTACTGAGGTATAGTTAACATACAATAAATTCACCCATTTTTAAGTGTGCATTTTGGTGATAAGTATATGTAGTCTAGCAACAACCACCACAATCTCATTTTAAAAAGCATAAAACACCCCGAACTTTCTTCAAGTCTATTTGCCATAAATGCCCATGTCCACGTTTCTGTCCTAACCCTCCTTTTCTAACATTATATATGAACAGAATCATACAGTAGGTAGATTCTATGTCCGACTTCCTTCACTCAGCACAATGTTCACCCACGTTCAGACACACTGTTTTCTGTATTGGTAGTTTGCTCTTTCAAATTTTGGCATAATTTAGCATACTAAGTCTGCCCATTTACAAATTAGGGAACTAGACTGTTTCCATTTTTTCAAGTTTTTAAAAATAAAAATGCTAGGCATGTTCGCATGCAAGACTTTTGTGTGGAAAATGTTTCTATTTCTTTTCAGTACATACTAACGGCTGGAATGGTTTAATTGTATGCGTAACTTTTTAAGAAGCTGACAAATTTTTCCAAGGTGACCTAATCATTCTTTTAGTCCTACCCAGTAATATCTGAGAGTGCCAGACCAGTACTGAGTACTGTGACTCTTTTCAAAAACAGCCATTCTGGTGAGTATGTTGTGGTTATTTCTTTGTGACTTTAACTTGAATTTCCCTAATGACTAAGGATGCTGAGCATTTTTCCATGGGTTTGTTAAAAGTCATGTATATCTTCTTTGGCGAAGTATCTACTTGAATCTTTGCTGAAGTGTCTACTTGAATCTTTTGAGTTTTGCTGTCTTCTTTTTATTCAGTTTTAAATATCCCAGATGGAAGCCCTTTGTAGACATATGTTTTACAAGTATTTTCTCCCAATTTGTTGGCTTGCTTCTACATTTAATTCACTAGTTTGACAAAATAGAAAGACTGTGTTTGTTTTTCTTTCTCTGGCCTGGCTTCTCTCTCAATGGCTGGACTTGACTGGTAATTTGGAAGCTAAGTGGCATCTGATACCAAAGCTAGTAAAGTTCTAGCTTTCTATCACTTTGGCATCAGTGAAGTTCTTACCTTAATGGGGGTGTCCAACCTGCAGCCTGCATGTGGATTATGTGATGACATTTTTTGCTTATCTGTGGTGGTGGATGCCATGAAAATTATGCGCAGACCTTTCCTTTTCATTTTTTATGCTCATCAGCCTTTGTTAGTGTTTATGTATTTACTGTGTGGTCCAGGACAGCTTTTCTCTTTCTGATGTAGCCCAGAGAAACCAAAAGTTTGGATGCCCCTGCTGGTAATGTTTTATGGGCTTTTCAAATCAGTTGTTTTGTTTCTATTTATAAGGGGAGATGTAAAAAACTAGGTTACTCCAAACAATTCTGTGAAAGTAGAGACGGGCTAAAATGATTTAAGGAGAAGAGAAAGGAGAGGGAAGCTTCCTGGGCATGACACCATTTGCAAGTTGACAGCGAACACTCAACACAGGGCAGAGGTTTTCTTCTTAGTATCAGGTAATTGTGTGGAACGTAGATGTGCTGAAGTTTGGATCTATATTCTGCTTGATAAAATATCTGTTCACCAACTCCAACATTCGTTCTCCTGGATCCATACGGGCTCATTTCTGTCCATTAGGCCCCATGAGTTCCTGCACTGTTTCCCCTCCACTGTAGTACCTTCTATCTTTTCTGCCATTCAAACTTCTTAAATCTACTTCCAATGTGAAATAATAATTAACAAGCTTCTTCAGTAGGCTACTTCTACTGCACCACCTTATTTCAATGTACGTCAATTGGCATTAGTATTAGAAATTAAAAAAAAAAAAAAAAAGAACACTTCGCCAAGGTCCACTTGCACACAGACTCCCAAAGAGCAACAGGCAGAGCACTACAATTAAAAAAAAACCATTTAATTTCAGCGGGGCATAGTGGTTCACTCCTGTAATCCTAACACTCTCACAGGCCGAGGCAGGTAGACTGCTTGAGCTCAGGAATTGGAACCTGAGGCTCATTGCATCAGTCTTAGAAATGACCCACTTAGAATTATTTTGTTGCTCTTCTTTTATTTATTTATTTTTTTTTGAGACAGAGTCTCACTTTATCGCCCTCAGTAGAGTGCCATGGCATCACAGCTCACAGCAACCTCCAACTCCTGGGCTTAGGTGATTCTCTTGCCTCAGCCTCCCAAGTAGCTGGGACTACAGGCACCTGCCACGATGCCTGGCTTAGAATTAATTTTGTATAGCATCTTTTATTTAAAAGCCTATGATCTACAAAAGCACAGATACATTAAAGAAAAAAAGACCGTCCTTTCCCTCTTGAATTAACTTGGCGATGCTGTCAATAGTTGATCACATATGTGTACGCTCAGTTTTGTGATCCTAGTTCTATTTTATTTCCTATTGATTATTTTTTTGTTTTATACAAAATGAGCTTGGGTTACATTTTTCTGTCTTTACATGTCTAGTCATCTTTGGTTAAACTAGGCATTGTATACCACACAGTGCAGTGTCTCTGGATTCCATTTTGCTCTTCTGAAGAAAGTGTAAGTTTTCCTGTTTTAATATACTTGATTCACTTGCCTGGATTCAAACTAGAAAATTTGCTTCTTGGCAGAGCACTAAACATTTTGCTCAGTTTTTCCTTTTCTTTTGCCTGGGTCTCTGTGGAACGCTTTTGGGTCTGTATAGTTTTGTGATCAGCCAAACAAGTCAAGCCAGTAAAGCTTTTTCTCTTGGCTGCCCAGTCTGTGATGAGATGAAAAATATATTCAAATGTACAGCAAATAAGTCTCCCTAGGCTTTTAATTTTGCCTGAGCTTCCTAGGCAACTCCATATGCCCTGTCATTTAACAATTAGCCATGAGTGCATGGACAATATGCACGGGTCACTATGAAAGTTTTGAGACAGACTGTGTTACCGTCCATTATATCACTTTCAAGAAACACAGCCAGCTGCATCCTTTCTGATTCACCTGTGCGAGTTCCAACTTATCAGTGTTGCTTGGAAGGGTTTTGATTGTTTCTGTCCATGTGGATTTTTATATTTTTTGATTGTTTGTCTATCTCAAAACTTTTGTAATGACCCATGTATTAATTATCTCAGCACTTCTAGAGCTCTTTTGCTTCCAAAATCTTCCCCTTAAATTTTCGCTGCTCTGTTTTTCTTTTAAGCCAAATCAGCGAATTCGAGGCAGCAGACTTGTGAATTTTTACCACCAGATCTAGGAGGAAGGAAATACGTTCAGGCAAGAAGCAACTCATTCAATGCAGTAGCAGTTTTTCCTAAGTAAACACTTTCAAGTTCTTTGCTGTCTTTAATCATTTTTGAAATGTCTACATTTAATGATTTTGTTCCATTTCATAGTTCTCTTGGGGGGAAAGGGGGCAGAGATCACCCAACTACCTCGAGCGCTCATTACTGGAAATAGAGTCTCGACCATATTTTAAGCATTTGTGAATATGTTCTTTGTCACTATTTCATTTATCACTGCCTTAATGTAATCAAATCAATAACTTCAAAAATTCACCAACCAAAGCAGGAAAAACCTTACCGTTCACAAACATTAAACTTCAGATTCAATTTCAACCGTGTTGGTAGAAACAAAGGCATTTAATTAAGATGGTCATGGCTTGTTAACCCTGTTAAGGTCTTTTAAACACATATTAGCTACCGGAAACATTTTAAATATACAACACTTTGTAGGCGAGAGAGTAGATTCACTTTAGGCCCAGATCCCCAGCACAAAAAAAGAGAACATTATTAGCACAGAATGTGTTTTCAGATGCAGAGAGTTCATGAGGTTTTTCAGAAAATTACCTTAAAGGCTGCTAAGCAGTGCAGGCTCAGTGAGGCCATAACAACTGCCAGGAAGATGGTGGCTAAGTTCCGCACATCCCATACAGTCTCAACCAGAGGAATACTGCCAACTTGCCAGTCGTAGCACAGGGTAACAGGTGCAAGCAGAAGCCACACGTTGAAGGCCAAGAGGTAGGAGTAGGTAAGGAATCTACAAAGAGAAAGAGAATCACTGAAACGCAACTCAAGACTCATGTCACCTTCCAAACATATGTTTATTTAGTTTTTATTAAACAGCATGTCTCTCCTACTATTGCTATCTTGTAAGAGAAAACAAGGGAAGCTAGAAAGTCATTCACTCATTTATTCATTAAATTAATCACTCAGGATATATCCAATAGGTTCTAGCCACTGTGTTAGATGCTGGCCTTTCAATGGTGAACACACACAAACATACCTGGTTTCTATCATATACACTTAAAAGTTATCATACAAATAAATACATTACAACCTGAGATAAATGTCTTGAAGGAAAATTTGGTGAAAGCACAGGGCAGACAGGCTGCCCTGCTTCAGGGATGATTCCCTGGAAAAGAGACACTGCAACTGCCCTTCTTAATCTTGCAGCCAATTTGAAAGTAACTTCATGCTTTTTATAACAGATTGATCCATACTGGATTAGTTCAAAAAATCAAAATACTTATGATCAGGAGAATAAAATCCCTTGTTCATGAATGGAGGGCCTAACCCTCAAAGGAGGGGAATACAGGTGTTCTTGGGGACAAGAACAGCCAGGCAGACAACAGAAGGGAATGGACAAAGCTATTACTCCTGTTTCGTGGCCGTGACTAGGCACTAAGGCAAAGTGGAAAGCATTTTAGTCGGTTCCTCCTTTTGGGGATAGAGGAAGTTGAAGTTGCCCAATATCGTTCAATCAACACATTCAGTAAGCATTGTTCTAGACCAGCGGTTCTCAGCCTGTGGGGCACAACCCACAGGAACTGTATTAAAGGGTCGTGGCATTTGGAAGGTTGAGAACCACTGTTCTAGACCCTGAGAACCGAGGAACACTCCGCACATAAAGACTCCCTCCAAACCTCCAGACTAGGACACAGCCAAACTCTAGCACGGGCCATGTCCCTAGGATGCCCCTAGCCCCTTGTTAAAATGCCTGCCTGAGAAATCTCAGTGCTCTCAGAATGCCTTCTGGGTTTTAGCCAACACCTATGACAGGCCCCTGACCCCCCTTTCTTAGAGCATTCACAAAATGCTTATGATTTGGGGCACTTGTCTCTCACAGGTCAGTAGCACCTCTCTCAAGGACTTTGGAGCTAGTCCTCTGAAATACAATCAGGAAGACAGAGCCTCTGCCTCCCAGCCTCTGTGGAAGGACAGAAGCCTACGGCTGGCAGACACAGCTGGACTAGTCACCTTTACACTGGCCAACTCTGCAAATATTTACTCTCCGACTCTCCCGAGCCCCTGCTGGGTGCCTCCCTCGACCTCCCTTTGAAAGACCCAACTGCTTCTGCAAAAATCAGAACGAAGCCCAGTTCCTGCCCCTGATGTCCGTAGTCACTGAGTAAAATCTGTCTGGTGCTTCAGCGTACGTCTGACTGTACCTGTCTTTGACACCCTACTTAGGATTATACAGAAGAATTAGATAAGTTCCTTGTCCTCAAGGAATGTATCATTGAATAGTGAAATAGGACATACTGAATTAAAAAGGGAGACTGAAATAGATGAACTACCAAATGGGAAAAGAAGTTCTTGCCCATTTTTTAGATTCTTTCGGAGGATTCTTGGGTTAGCAAAGACATGAGATCACATAGTTTCTACATTACCTTCCAGTGTGAAATGTCAGTTCACCTTGAACTCCAGCCAGCATGTACTGGTCTGGGACAGCCTTCCCAGATCTTCCGAGCTGATCTCCTCCCTCTCCTCCTCCTCCTCCCTGACGGTGGGCTGTGGAAAGCAGAAGCACCCACAACCTCCGGGTGGGGGCCAGCGGGGGAGATCATTCCTCACTCTGACTCAAACCCCAAAAGAGAAACAGGCTGAAGGAGTAGGGATATTTCAAAGGTGTTTTCCAACACTCAGCTCTCTATCATACTTTTTAATTAACTGGAAACGTACAAATAGTACAGGACATGTATATACTAAAGCTCGATGAAGTTCTGGCTTTGTTATTTAATAAGAGCAAAAGCACACACACACAAAAATGCTTTTTCCCCTTGTAGCCTTGGACCTGTAAAATTGTCACATGAGAATGCCACTTCCACAGGGAGAAGACTGGATCACCTTGGTCTCCTTTTTTCACAAAGCTTCCAGGTTAATGCCATCTGCCTTTCAGATCAGTAAAGATTCTCTGTATTTTGGCTTTTCAGGCAAATGGTGAACCACCAACTTCGCAGGAAAATCAGTCAACTCTGTCACTCAGTCAGCACAGCTCTTAAAAATTATTTGGAAAGTATTATTCCCTTCTAGAAATTATAGCTGTAAGCATGATCATCAACAGCTGCTAAGATTATCAGGTGGAAAGCAGATGAGGTACTTTATAATGTATGAATCAGGCTAAGTCAGTGCCTAGAACTGACTAATCGATTTTAACATCACAGAAGGAGAGATGAACAGCTCGACGTCCTCCTGATAGAAATACACACCCACACCTACCAAGCAGTCTTGTCAAAACAAATAAGCAAAAAAATCAAGGCTGAACTGTTCAAGTCCTGAATGTAATTACCAGTTTACAGCAAATATAGGAAACAACAGAACCGTGTACGTGGCACCGGAGGGATGCAATGTACCAAATCCAGAAGGTAAAAACACCCGCAGAACGGATGACCCAGGGTCTCAAACAAATGCATTATAATGATGGGAGGAAAAAAATCTATAGAATCAGAGGGAGAGCATCTATACATTAATGTATAGAGAGCATCTATACATTACTGAAGAGACATATAAAAATGCAAGTTTTGTTTAGAGGCTAATTCAAGCCATTATTAAAAAGAACTACTTACAACACTATCAGAAAAATGAACTGTTGACTGGATAGAGAGAGAACTGGGTAGAGAGAATCATTGTTAATTTGTGAAGGGTGACTATAGTATTAAGGTTATATTTCGTAAGAGTCTTTGTCTTTCAGAAATACGTATTAAAATGTACACATATGACATAAGATGATGTCTGAGATCTATTTTAAAATAACTGACTGGGGGAAGCAAGAGGAAGTAGCAAGGTGTGGATGAAATCTCGTGGCCAGGAGTTAAGATCACGGAAACCAACAGTGGCACCTATGTGGAGTTCTTTATGCCATTGTCCCTACTCTTGTATGTAGTTGATATTCTAGCACAAAACGTCTTTTAACTAGGAGAAAACAATAGAATCGCAACAGTAAAACTTTCTTATTTCTATCTGCAGCTCCACTATGGAATATCTGTCAACGCTCTGCAGAATTTACTGTTTTAATTTTAAGTTGACATGTTCGTCTTGTCCTGCAAGCAAAACGCAGTTTTTTAGATTTTGTAGACTTATAATATTGTATCGACGAAAGGCAAATATTAAGAAAACAATATTTTTTTAAGTTCTAATCTCAAAATTGTTGTTTATGCATTTTAAAACGTTCGTTGTGCTTTTTTACACAGACTGTAACCAAACTAGGTTAAAAAGTAAAGTGAACCACAGAAGTAAATACCACGGCCCCTCCCTATAACACTAGGAAGGTCATGACTCTTCATTCATCCCGAAGGTACCCTGGTAATATATACAGTAGAACCTCAGTAGTGGACCACCTCCCTACCTTGACCACCTCCTGAAGTTGATCTAATTTTCACAGACCAGACATGCACCAACTGTACTATAGCCTAGTTCCTCATGTTGCCCACTTCCACATGTTGACCAGTTTGTTACAGTCCCTTGGTGGTCAACTTACAGAGATTCTATTGTATCTGCTATTGCTTGAAACTCAAGAGACATTCTGTATCTTCTGGTGCTGAGAGAAGCACGTCACTGTTGCTAATAAACTCTTTAAATACTATTTAACACACTGACATAGCCCTGGAAAATTTTTGCAAACTTAAGCACAAAGAGGCCAAGTGGAATCACTCCAAAAGCTAATTATGTGGGGAGGAGGGGAGGATGGAGGAGGTGGGTGTAGTTCAGCTAGCTGTAATCAACAACTGAAGCTGTTCTTTTTAACTCCTAGACTATGAATCACATTCAAGCTAATCGTCTTGTTTGTTTATTTCTGTTAAAATTTCAGAAACCAAATAAACTGTCAACTATCTCTGCTCTGCTGGGTTATCTTTTTTAAAAGCCAAGAGCAAAAACCACAATGAATTATTTACTGATTTTCTACCACAAGTTCTGTGAACCAAAAGAAACCCCCTAGAATCTCTTTCCAACGAAACGGAATGAATACACAACCTAGGAACCAGGGATTCAGCTTGAATCATTTAGTCATGAATTTTCATTGATAAAGCCAGAGGTTTTGTGACAGAAACACAGGAAAGGGAATGGGGAGCTGAGGCTGTGGGGGAAATGACATTCGTGGTGAGGCACCCAAGGAAACTGTGTGGCTCTTACCATCTCACTTTTCATTTTTATTAAGAAAAACAATCGAAGTGTTTGAAGGGCAAAAATGTATGTGGATTCTATTCTTTGCCTCTGTGAAAACCCTTCTGGCTGGGAAATCACATGCACCTGTCATATTTCCTTGCCCTATGATAGGGGCGTAGGAAAAAAATCATGCCATCAACAAGCAGAAACATAAAGCTCTCACTTGTTTCACATAAAAATGTTACTGCTCAAAGAATCCTTCTTTTCCTTTCAAATGCAAAATCTTTATCAGTTTGTAAATACAGGACATTGGGTCTTCCATATACACTGGCCTCCTCTCAGGAAGGGCTTTTGCCACCTGCTATGGTGTGGCTATTTGTCACTCAAACCTCATGCTGAAATTTGATCTCCAGTTGGAGGTGGAGCCTCATAAAGACAGGTGTTTGAGCTGGGAGGCTGGGTGGTGGGGGTGGACCTCTTATGAACAGTTAATGTCCTGGAGTGGGGGACAGGAAGTGAGTTCTTGCTCTAAAGCTGGTTGTTAAAAAGAGCCTGGCATGTCTCTCCCTCTCTCTGTCTTTCTTTCTCTCCATGTGATCTCGGCACATACTGGCCTCCTCCTCTGCCACCACTAATGGAAGCAGATGCTGGGGC